CAGTTATTCCCTGTACTTTCCTATGTCGATATTTCGAAAGTACCTTTGTTTCGAAGGGCTGTGACTTCGAAAAATTTTATGAATTTTCTAGCTAGCTATAAGTTTCAATATAAAGTTTAGATTTTAATTCAAAATTTGTGCAAAGTTTACTTCTTAATGTTTATAAACAGTAGAGATATGATTTTTTTAAAAATAGTCCCTAACTTTGTTCCCATTGGTCATAGAAACTATCCAATCGTTGTACGTACAAGTCTGTAGTTTGAAAAATATATAAGTTATTACAATTGTTTATAAGTAAAAAACATACCCTTTATTTTGTAAATAATTTCGATGAAAACTCAATATGTATTTTACTTCTGAGATAGTTTAATTTTAAAAGAATCCTATGAAATTTGCTAAATGTGTCTAACATCATTAATAGACGAAGTTCAATAGCTTAAATGAGTAATAAACTAAATAAATTGGAGCAGAAAATATGAGCAAATCAGATAGACGTCAGTCATTTATGTAACCTGGAGGTAAAGGAGAAACTGCAGAAATGTATTAATAATAATTTGAAAATACTTCATGAAAAAGAAACATCTCAGCCAACGAACAACATAGATAAAAAAATGTCAAAACGTAAAAATGGTGATAACAGGTCCTGCAAAGAAAATTCTGATAATCGGAGAATAATGAAAGGAAAAAACGAACAAAGGTATAAACAAATACAGAAAGAAATCAAAATAGAAATCAGAATAGCAAAAGAAGATTTTTATAAAAGAAAATGTGAAGAAATAGAGCAATTGTGTACCTGCAAGAAAGAACTTGCAGGTACACAAAAACGTAAACAGCCAAATACCCTGTATAATGTTAACGGAAACATAATAACAGAACTAGAAGAACAGTTGAAGACATGGAAAAACTATATTGAAGAACTCTTTGCAGATGATAAACAACAATCTGAGCTAAGTAACATACAAGGAGACGAAGGTCCAGAAATAACGAAAGAGGAAGTAATGTACGCACTAAAAAGAATGAAAATGGTAAAGACCCAGGTCCAGATGAAATACCAACGGAAATCCTTAAACTAATAGAAAAAGACTCGATTCACATTTTAGTTGAACTTTTCAATAAAATACCACAAGAATGGCTTTTATCCACCTTTGTTATTATGCCAAAAAAGATAAATGCCAAACAATGTAGTGATTACCGTACAATCAGTCTGATGAGCCATGTACTGAAAATATTCCTGAAAATTGTACACTCTAGAGTACACAGAAAACTGGAAATGGACATCAATAATACCCAGTTTGGATTCCGAAATGGACTCGGAACAAGAGAGGCGTTGTTTGCACTGAACGTTATGTCTCAAAGATGTCTTGACATAAATCAAGATGTTTTCATGTGTTTCATAGATTACAACAAGGCCTTTGGGAAAGTGCGGCATGATCACCTAATCAGACTCCTGACAGAAAAGAATTTAGATAAACGAGACATCCGACTAATAGCAAATATGTACTACAATCAGAAAGCAGTAGTGAGAGTAGAGAATAATACCACTGAAGAAATTGAAATAAAGCGAGGTGTGAGACAAGGGTGTATACTGTCACCAACCCTGTTTAATCTCTATTCCGAAGACGTAATGAATAGAACACTTTCTGAGCAATCCGTAGGTATTAAAATAAATGGTGTTAGATTAAACAATCTGAGATTTGCCGACGACACCGTTCTGATCGCAGAAACACTTGAAGAGCTACAAACATTAGTGAATAAGATAGCAGACTGCAGCGAAGAATATGGACTATCTTTGAACATAAAGAAAACTAAATTTATGGTAATATCGAAATCAACACAAAATGTCCAAAATTTATATTTACACAATGAAATTATCGATCGAGTTAACAAATACAAATATTTAGGCACTTTTATAAATGAAGACAACGATAGCTCAGCAAAAATCAAAATAAGAATAGAAAAAGCCAGATCCATATTCACTAAAATTAAGAGAGTGTTCTGCGGAAGAGATTTGAGCCTTGAAATGAAACTTCGCCTGATGAGATGTTACGTACTTTCTATGCTATTCTACGGAATGGAGTCATGGACATTAAAAAAGATTGATACCAAAAAATTAGAGGCATTTGAACTGTGGATGTATCGCAGAATCTTGAGAATATCATGGACCGAGAGAGTCACAAATATCGAGGTCTTGAGAAGAATGAATAAAGAAAAGGAAGTCATATTTACGATCAAAAAACGAAAACTGCAATACTTGGGACACATTACAAGAGGCGAAAGATATGAACTGCTTCAAATAATTATGCAGGGGAAAATAGCAGGAAAAAGGTCCATAGGAAGAAGACGAAACTCCTGGCTAAAGAATCTACGGGAATGGTATAGCTGTAGCAACAACGAATTGTTTCGGTCAGCAGTTTCGAAAATACGTATAGCCCTGATGATCGCCAACCTTCGGAACGAAGATGGCACTTGAAGAAGAAGAATTGAAATGTCATTTACTGAGTATTAAAGTATTTATTTATTTATTGCGTAATTTTGCACCCTTAAAAACTACCCCTTGTCATAAAAATAATGGAAAATGTTTTTTTATTGCTTTAATAGCTTTAATCATTTAGAAATATTTTTATTGGTTATGATAAACTTTATTAATATATTCCAAACTTTATTAATATTATTCTTTCCACATTTCCTGAACAATTTTTTTCAGTGCTTATGTGACTTAAAAAAAATTAATTTCGCATTAAAATAAATATTAAAATATATGAAAAATTCATTTTTCACAGTAATTTTCAACTCTTCATCAGAGCTTTCTTCACCAATTTCTCCTTTTTCATTAATTTGAGGGCTATTTTGGCAATTGCCCCCACTGCATGATCCGCAGACTGCATTGCAAAATAACCCTACTCTTCGTCACCTGCAAGAAGCGCCGCACCCTTTATTGCAGTTGCAAAAAAATCATTTTTAACAATTCTGGAGCAAGTGGATTGTAATTTTTAGTTGGAAACAAAGACTCTTTAATTTTGCACCATTCCCACTCAACTGGACGAATGTCTTTGTTTCCAAGCCATATCTGGGTTTGGCTAACCACTAATAAACAGTATCACGTATATTTTACTTCGCTTTTGGTATACTGAAATATTCAATAGGCACACAGCATACTAGAAAGTCCCGCTATGTTTTTGAGCAGATATGCAGAATTCCTTTCACTAGTTTCTTTTATCTTCAAAATATACATACACATATATCTATCGACACGTCTACTTCTTATTACCTATCTTTTTTTCCTATATACATATACATACAAAATCTCTACTCCAAAAATTTTTCTAAAAAAATGTTATTGATTATTGATTTTTTTACAATAACTCCGTTATTTTTTATGATATCAGATTCATTCAAAAACCATTTGAAAAATAACTTCAAGGGCTATAAAGTCGTATTAAATTTAATCTTTTAAACCCTTATTTTTTAAAAAATAAAAGGTTAAAGGGCCCCGGTTACATGGTTATCGCAGTAAAATTTAGGTTTTAAACGTTTTTTTATCTCAGTTATTTTTTATCCTACAAGAATATAAAAAAAGGAAAATCTTTGTTAAAAAAAACTTCCAATTTTGTTCTTCATCATTTTTTAAGTATATTGAGTATATATGGAGTTATTCTCAAAAGAAAATGAAACTTTTGAGGTCATTACTTATGCTAAAATAAAGTATTATAGGGATTACTACAAATTTTAATTTTTGTAGTAATAGCATATGTTTTATTTTTCTTTATTCCAAAACAATTTCTTAAGGGTCCTCTTATTTTCATCATAACTTGTGTAATTTTGATGCTATCAACTTCTTCTAGAGCTCATATTATAGGTATTTCTAAATACTTTAAAAATTAGTCAATAAGTATATTTTATAAAATGTATTGTTTTCCCATTATTTAAGCTTGAATATTCAGATTTGAGTACTCGCCGAAAAAAAAATACATTTAATTACCTATAACTCAGTTTGAATTATTACTAAACGGTATTTAAAGCAAGGAATTTATTAAATTTTTTATATGCTTTAATCTTGGTAATGACAACTTTTTTATACAAACTTGTAGTTTTTGAGTTGTTTATGAAAAACTGCTTTAAAACATACATTTTTTCACGAAAAATCAAAATCTTTGATCTTCAATAACTCAAAAAGTTTTGATTTATTTTAATATCTTTATAAAATAAATTTTGTTTAGATTTGGTCCCTCTATCGATTCCTGGGGTTACTTTTAATAAAATAATTTCCACCCCCGAGAAGGGGTGGCATCCACCCTCAGGGTAAAGCGCAAGTTGATACCATGTCACTTTTGATTCTTAAGGTACTACTCACCAATTTTCATGAAAATCGATGGAGGTTCAACGAAATCGGAATGAAAACCTTCAGTGACTGAACTATACTGTGTTATCTTCATCAATATAAATTACTTGAAACAAAGAGGTTTCCACCAAAATCGATGCACTACCGATATTCTAATTAACTCTGAATTTGAAATAAATCAAGGATTTGCGAATCAAAAACGTTAATAAAGCATATGATATAGTAATTTACCCACAGGAGATTAAAAAGTAAAATAAACAATTTTTTATGATTTTTAAACCATATTTAGTATAGAGAGAAGTACGCTATTTGTATAAACAACTCTACATCATCGAAAATGTCACAAAGGAATGGAATATCTCAAGAATCAACGATAAGTGAACCTACAAGATATTACTTCCTTTTTTATGAAGCGGTAAGTACTATATATAATATAAAAATTGCTAAAGTGTTTTTCTGAATCTATAAAATGAAGTGCATGCTGTTTTCAAAAAAAATGTAATCTCCTGCTACTACATAAAAAAAGATTTATTAAAGAATCATTTAAATGTTTGTTAACTTTTTTAAAATGTTAACGTTGCTATTTTAAAAGTTGAAAATGAAAATATGGAAAATCCTGTGAAAATTACACTGCTTTTTAGAAAAACTATGATTTACGTACCTTTCTTCCACAGTAAGGTTAGCTAGAGCTGGTATTCGACACCAATACTTCTCAGGAAGGATCGTGATGAAGATCTGAGTAAAATAAACAAATGCCACAAAAAACGCGAACGGTATCATCAGCAAAAACAAGATTTTCTGATACCTGCCGAACTCGCCCAAGTGGGGTAACAAATCGTCGAATTCGAACGATTCTCCCTTTTCCACGACGTCGTTACTTCCGGATTCAGACTCTTTCGGAACTCCTTTTTTCAAAAAGTCTATCGAAAGATTGTTTTTCCCGTTAGTAGCGCATTTCTCGTTCGAATCGCTGACGTACCCGTCGTTGCTGTAAGCCCGGCTATCGGCCTTTTCGTCCTGTTTTGGTGACATCTTTTTTATTTTTCTGCGACCAGGCTAACCTCTGAGCTGAGGCAATTCCTAATCGCTAATTTAGATCTGAGAAGCGGTGATCGACTGAAACCGCGGTCAATGATTTCATCGTTTTTATAGAACATTGTTAAGGTCACGATGGGGATGTGACAATGATCTATTGCTTTGCGATCCCTACCGTGCTTGCAGAAATCGTAACGCGCGCTCTTATCACTGCATTAGACGATGGTGCGCATTGTCGGTGTTACATTTCGTCTATTTACAACTTATACACCGGCGAAAGGTAAGAATGACTGCATTGTATGTAGCGAAAACAATTTCAGCCGTCCAACATGCGATTTATGGAACTTTTGTTAGACATAAACAGTGTAGTAGTAAAATATATTAACAGTTTTCGGAGTAAAAATGTAAAATGTGGTTATACATGCTTAGTATCACAGAATATTGTCCAATTTTCGTTTATATTTCTGATCTTACAAATGTTGTATCATTTTAAAATAAACTTAATATTGTCTATATAGAGGTAAAACTCACTAAATGCAAAATAAGTAAAACAGAGATATTCAACATATTTTTGCTTTATAATTTTATTTATGATTAATCTAGATCAGCGATACTCAACCTTTTTTTTCCCTGGGCCGCATAGTAACTATTGCCACAGCTTGCGGGCCGCAATCTAGGTGAAGTAGTATAAATACATACATATATATATATATATATATATATATATATATATATAATTTTTGTTATATATTTTTTTTATTATATATATATATATATATATATATATATATATATATATATATATATATATATCTAACGTTTGAAAGCTTGAGATATAAAAAATAGTCTTCTAGAACAGCCCCTTTTATTAACTCCAACCCACCGAAACGAAAATTTATATATATATATATATATATATATATTGTTGTACTTTTGAATGTCCATTAGCAATAAAAAACCGATATACAAATTTTATTACTTATTGGACTATGGACATATTGGCAGTAGAAAGGTATGGCTTGTGTTTAGGGAAAACTACATCAGTCGACAAGATTACCGCATTGCAAAAGAGATCACACAGAAATGCGAAGTATGCCAGAAATACAAGAGCAGGAATTTTAAAAACAAAAATATTGCAAAGAGCATTGTATCCCGGAACAACCTGGACATTATAGCCATCGACATGTTAAGCGATCTAATTGTGACCACCCAAAGGAACAAGCATATTCTGGTGATGGTGGATGTGTTCTCAAAATACGTGAAATTATATAGTTGCCGCACCACAAAAGGGGAAGAAATATTGAGAAAAAGAGACAATTTCATCGCTACGGTAGGAACCCCAAGAAAAATTTTACTAGACAATGCAACGTACTTCCGAAATGATCGTTTCAAGGGACAGCTTAGAGAACGGGGAATCGAGACGAACTTTGTAAGCATCAGGCATCCCCAAAGTAATCCTTCTGAGCGATTTATACAAGAGGTAACGAAATTTCTTCGCATTGCAACGGATGGTCAACATCGGCGATGGGACAGAAAATTGGGAGAAATAGAGATGTACCTAAATTCCATGCCAAGTACAGTAACGAAAGAAACACCAGAATACATCATGAAAGGCGTCATGCCGATAAGACCGTGGGAAGATCCAGAACAAAGAGAGTATCGACAGGTTATAGAAACGGTTCAGAGGAGATTAAGAAGAAGCAATGAGAAATACATCCAGAGACAGGGTCATAATAGGAAACGAAGACCAGTAACTTTCCAAAAGGGTGACAAAGTAATGGTAAGAGCATTAAGAGTGTCAAATCTTCAGAGCGGTATTTGCGCAAAATTGATGCCTGTTTTCGAAGGGCCATACATAGTAAACAACGAAGATGGAGTAAACAGCTATGAGTTGAAACATATGGATTCTGAAAAGATCAGAGGTATTTATAATATCCATGATGTATATAAATATCACGAATGAAGATTTAAATTTGTATAAAGTAGATAGTAGGATAGGATAATACGTAGCATAAGTACAGCTAGCATACAGGAAGTGCGTTTTAGTTTGCCTCGAGAAAATTTAGTTGCATAGATTGATAAATTTTATCGATTACAAAGGCGGGGATTTGTTGTACTTTTGAATGTCCATTAGCAATAAAAAACCGATATACAAATTTTATTACTTAAATAAAAAATTAAAATTATTGATATTTCATAAAGACACGGGCATATAAATTTTCAAACATCCTGTATAAGACAAAATATGTATTTTAAGTTGTTCGAAGAATTGTTCATTAGGCCTCAGAGACAAGACTTTCAAATATTATCGATAAGAAATTTAAATAAGTCGGTTATTGTGGCAGGGATTTACCCGGAAATAAAGTGTATATAGACAGTGTTTAAACAATAGACCGGGATTTGCGGTGGTTTTTCTCCCCGAAAGATTATATCGGTAAAAGTTTATTAACAAAAGACATTGAATTGAGAAACAGGTATCGTTTGTAGCTATTAGTAAGAAATATTTGTAAAGCAGATAGATTTAGTTAGAATAATTAAAGAATGTTGTTTTCTGGAAGTACCCGAATGACGTTTTATAAAGAGAGTTGGTTGGTAACGATATACGTCACAGAGGTGGATGATTTTTATTGGTCAATTTTTGAATGCAATGGAGGTAGTGGTTTTGGCTATGAGATAGGAGAGAGGAAAAAAGTTAGTTAGTCAGTTTTCGTCGCCCAAGAAGGAAAGAGCTTTGTGGTTTGTGTTTGTTTGAAGTCCCGAAGACGTAATTTACCGGGTGTGTTTATTTGCTGTGTAAAAGCTGATCAGTGTAAGGAACGGGGTACAGAGAGATAGAAAAACCAAAGGGTATAAGAATATTAATATCAGACGAAGCCGGAAACATTTGAAGTTATAAACAGGCGCGGAGATTCGCTCAAAAGGAGGCTGCATAGAATTACCCGAGTTGTTGGGTTGCAGATACAAGGACAGATAGGAGAAAGGTGTACGTCATCTGGACCACAATAGGAGCAGAAGCAGAGAAAGGTTTTTTTTTATGGCGTGGCCATAGAATTACAACGGCAGAGAACGAAAGGTCAGTCAATTTTCATTAGAGCAGGAGTGTGGTTTTCATTTATTAATTAAATAAATTGAATAAATAATAGAGACAGTTAATTTTGCGATCATTTAAAGAAAAAAATTATAAAGAGAGCTTAGTTATAACACATATTAAAAATCAATGTAAAATAACATTTGGGTCCATGATAGAAAACAACTTCTCATATATATTTAAAGTATTATATTGCAAATATTACAGGATTGATTGTTATATAAAATTTCATTAAAATAAAGGACATCTCACATATAGTTCAGTTGAAATTCTGTGTATTTTATTCAGGTCATATTACCTATCCCAATTAGGAAGCCAATTGGAAAATATTTTGAATCCACGATCAAAGGTAAATAGTACAAGTTAAATAGCCTGAGATTGTAATTAATTAATGCTGATTTATTGTGATTAATTGGAGATTAGATCATTTAATAAATATAGACAGGATCTTTTCTAAATAAGCAATAGAATACAATTTAAATAGCATAACAATATATATATATATATATATATATATATATATATATATATATATATATATATATATATATATATATATACATATATATACATTATTTTCAAAATACTAATTTCAAAAATGTATAATACTTTCAAAAAATTTCGATCAAATGATTCAGATACTATAGACAAAACGAAAAGTTACAGATAATATGGCTAATGACCAAATGAAAATTTAAGGCAATTGCAGAAAAGTTTATATATGTATTGCATTTCCAGCTGAATATGAAATTCAAGCCAGGATAAAAAACGAGCCAGGATAAAAAAGCGAGCCAGGATAAAAATGCATTGCTTTTTTCGAATTCTGAGAAAACTAATAAGTATTTTTGAAAAATTTAAACGCAGAGTGAAAGATTACATTATTACCGAGGGCAGAAAGTCCCTGAAAATTTCTATGTCTATTTTAATAAGTTACAGGGGTGAAAGGACAAAAAATTTATTGTGATTTTTAATTTCAAATATTTCATTCAAAAGAAACTTTTTATTTCTTCTAAAAGAATTTAGGCTCTGGGTAATAATGAAATATTTCATTCTGCATTTAAAGTTTTCAAAAATATTAATTAGTTTTCTCAGGATTTGATAAAAAATGCATAAAAATGAAAGTTAAATTTCAATCATATATAAGAGGCGGCATTTCAAAGACTTGCATCATATTAAAAGATGTACCCCACGGCTCTGCAGGGGTGAAAACAAAGACAAAATTTAGTATGATTTTTCATTTCAAATACATACAATAATGTGATCTTTCATTCGGCGTTTAAATTTTTCAAAAATACTCATTAGTTTTCTCATGATTCGAAAAAAAAATGTATTTCAAAAGCGTTTAAATGAGGTATCACATGATGTCTGTACTTTCCCATTTAAAAAAATCATAGTTACGACTGTAACCTGAAGAGTAATCGCGTAAAGTTCGAAACATTTATGTTATAATAATATATGATGTGTGTGTGTGGATTCTACAAAAAAAACGGACTCGTTAAATTAAAGCATTTATTTAAGATAAAAATTAATGTGATGGTTGGCACTGACGCAAACTATCAACAATTTTAGATAAATCTGGTACGTAATTACTACAAGCTACTCTCAAAACATTGTCATAATGAATTACAAAAATATCTAATATAATCGTATTTTTTAAAATGTAAGAATACATATGTAGATAAAGTCAAAAATTCTTATTTAGCCTTCGGGCCGCAGGTTGAGTATCACTGCTCTAGATAGAGGTGATATTATTTAAGGAGGTTAGGTGTTACTTTACTATTATGTTTTAAAAGAAATGATCAGAACTCAATAAAAACCCCGTGTTAAAAGTATTGCCATAGAGATAAAAATCATTAAGTGCAACCTGAGTTTTACTTGCTTTTACCTCCCAACGAAATGTAAACAAAGTGCACTGAATGTTTTTACCATTCTATAACTGCTTTATTATTATAGTGAGTTTTACCATGCGAGAGTTTAGATGTTAA